AAAAAAAAAAAAGGGGGGGGGGTTGTGAGAAAAAAAATGAGAAAAATCTATGAATTACTGATTTGGAGAGAGTCTTTACTTTTTAGATGTTCACCTGGAGCATTCAGATATTTCATCAGCATTACAAATGGAAAGGAGCACAAGGTATTAATTGGGATGAAACTAAAAAAAGGAACTGGATCTGGTCCAACGTTTAGATTATGTGGAACGTTAGTGTTTTCCTAATTTTAAGCACTATTTCTCACTAACCTATATGTAATCATATAGCTGATTTAGTGTTAATAATAATCATCATAAAATGTCAGTATCCTTGCTGGCTAATTTAACCTAAAAATTAGTAAGTCCTATAGCCATGTCATTCAATATGGCAGCAAAATGTGGCTTCTGAGCACTTAAAATGTGGCTAGTCTGAAATAAATGTGCTGTGAGGATAAAATACACACTAGATTTTGAAGACTTAGCTAAAATAAAGAATGTAAAACTATCTAACTTTTTAGACTAATTACATGGTAAAGCAATATTTTGGATATACTGGGTTTAATAAAATATAGTTCTAAAATTCATGTCTTTCTCTTTTACTTCATTTTAATGTGGCTATAAGAAAATTTAAAATAACACATGTGGTTCTCATATTTCTATTCTAGAGTTTTAAACTGATCTTTGCTTTTGCCTCTGCAATTTTACAGAAAGATCACTTATCACTACCATGTTCCAAAGAGCTGCTTATCACATTTAATGCCAGTTACTGAAGAAAAAAATAATCACATTATTTTATATGATAATTCAGTTCTCCACTAGACCTCTAGAATCCATCTATTTAGTCCCTGAGGTAGTATACCCAGTAGAGAAATGCAGATGATTGGCATAAGGCTTCCATATTACTTTAGAGGTAGAGAGCATACTCAATTCTGAATACTTTGACCTAAAATGTCAGATTCTTTTTACCACATTATACAGCTTCCATAAGACATATAATAGGATGGAGCGATTTTCTCTCACTAATAGTAATTACTAAAGAGGAAGAAAGGATATTGTAGTTAAGACAGTTGATCCATTTTTACCCATTATTACCAAATTAGCATCTGATATTTTCACAAAGTGGCATCATGCTCTCTAAATATACCTTTTTAAAGGGAAGTTTGAGCCTTTGATCTTCAACAGTAAGGTTTGTATCAACATAAAATTATAAACACATTTAAAAGACACGTTTAATATTTTTTAAAGAAGAATCTATAAAAGGAAAGAGACAGTCACCTCTATATTCTTTTAGGATGAAAAGAGGGACTGTTGACATCTATATCAAAGTTAGCATATTCTACTGTCTGCTAAATCTACCAAGTAAAAGCAAAAGAATCTACTCAATGGAACATATTTCTCTAAAAAGCTCATAGTATTTCAGTAACTATTAAAAATGTAGTATTTCAGAACACACCAATAGAGAGCCATTTAGAAATCAAGACTCAAAATGTCACTTAGTCTTTCTCTGAATCTAGAACCTTAGATATTATGCAAAAACTGCACAGATACTCTTGCTAAAATATGACATTTCAAAGCAGTGATCATTTATGAGGGTGCCTATAATCCAAAGACTTTTGTTCAAAACCTAATTTCTTACCCCAACCCCAAAGATAGCGAAGGGTGAAGTGGGGCCTGGATACCCAAATACTACCCCAGATGATTCTGAAGCTCACCCAAGGCTGGAGATTGCTGTTTTAGGCATACGTTAATGCACATATATTAATGTTATATTCTTAACAGATTTTTATGCCAAGCAGTGTCTCCTGAATGACATTAGACTGTAAGTATCAGTCAGGTTATAGCTTTTATATCTACTGGAATAGACAAGATAAAAATAACTCAAAGGTCAAGTCTTCACTACGCTCAATAAGACACAATTTAAAAAATCTTTTATAGCACTTGTAATATCCTAATAATACAAAAAGTGCTTTAATGGCAATTTCTAAAATGCTTCTCTTTCAGCCAAAAAACCTTTTGAGTTACTTTGTTAGTTAACAAAATGAAGTTAAATTAAATGATGACTAGATGAACTTACTGTAACAGTTTGGCCTGCCTTCAGCACGTATCTTGAGGTATATTTGTAACTGACTGATGTGTCTCCAATTTTTCTAATCATCTCCCAGCCTCCCATTGGTTGGTCCTATACACAGAAGACAGGGGTAGTATTACTTCAAAGATACAGAAGTTGTGGAATAATCAAATAAATTAATCCATACAGACAGTTAAAACTAAGACGGCTTTATGGACATCTTCCCATGTTTCAGGTTTTCCTACTATAAAAAGAAAACGTGATTTTGTCATTCAGTGAAACAGTAACTTCAACAATGAGTTAACTAGTAAGGTACTTAACTTTAAAGAGGGCAGAACTGGAAGGAAAGGGTATAAACCAAATTAAATGGTCAAATTCACTGCTACATAAGGTGGGTCTTTTAAATTTACATTATTATCTAGCTGTCATAATCACAATTTTAAACATCAAGTACTGGATTACTTCAAGCTTTTAAAATACACATGCATAAGCTTAGAAACAGAAAAAAATCTGTCATTTTCCTTCTGCATCTGTCCCACTTCTGCCCGCATTCAACTCTCTTACATGAAAACATAAGGGGCTCAAAAAAAAAAGGGGGGGGTCAATGTGGCTGGGCACAGTGGCTCACGCCTGTAATCCCAGCACTTTGGAAGGCCAAGGTGGGTGGATCACCTGAGGTCAGGAGTTGGAGACCAGCCTGGCCAACATGGCCAAATGCTGTGTAAAAATATAAAAATTAGCCGGATACAATGGCTCATGCCTGTAGTCCCAGCATTTCTTGAGAGGCCGAGACAGGCAGATCACGAGGTCAGGAGATCAAGGCCATCCTGGCTAACATGCTGAAACCCTGTCTCTACTAAAAATTCAAAAAATTAGCTGGGCATGGTGGTGGGCGCCTGTAGTCCCAGCTTGCACACACCTGAAATCCCAGTTACTCAAGAGGCTGAGGCAGGAGAATTACTTGAGCCGGAAGGTAGAGGTTGCAGAGCCAAGATTAAGCCACTGCACACCAATCTGGAGTCATTAAGTTAATAAATGAAAAAATATCCACCATTTTCATCCAATTGCTCTAACTTCTTCACAAATCTGGCTAGGGCAGAGAATAACAATACTAATTTATCCTCAGAAAAACCACTACAATAAAAGGAACATGCTTTTCAAAAAAGCCCTGGCTCTCTAGAGAAGAGTTAATGTTTAAACTACTAAGGGCACCACCTCCTACTCCTCCTTTTATTTTATGAATTTAAGTAAAAAGAATATAAATCCTTATTCCATGAAGACTTAATGAATCCAAACAAAAACTAAGGAGCTTTCACAATTGCAAGATAGCCTGGAAATCTGTAAAGCCTTGCTAGAAAAAAAAAATGGGTCTATTTTTTTTACCTGTTCGGAAGTGTTCTTCAAGCGGATAAATTTCCCATCAACATCAATTTCTTCAATGCAAACATTCCCAGTGGCTGAGGCGGAATGAGAGATGCTAACACTGCTACTTGCCTCTGATTCTTCCACATCAACCCTCTTCCGCTTTCCTCTAGTCGTACGTACACTGCGACTTGAGGATGCTCGGGATACTGTCACACGGGAAGAAGGGCTTGGAGAGAGCTTCAATCTATATAGGAAAAATAAAACAATTTATTTTTAAAACACATATGCCCTTCTTGCCTTTAAAAAAAAAGGGGAGAGGGCTGAACATGGTGGCTCATGCCTGTAATCTCACAGCACTTTGGGAGGCCAAGGCAGGTAGACTGCTTGAGGTCAGTTAATTCAAGACCAGTCTGACCAACATGGTGAAACCCCATCTCTACTAAAAATAAAAAAAATTAGCTGGGCATGGTGGCAGGCGCCTGTAATACCAGTTACTTGGGAGGCTGAGGCAAGAGAACTGCTTGAACCCCAGAGGCAGAGATTGCAGTAAGCCAAGATCGCACCACTGCACTCTAATCTGGGTGACTCTATCTCAAAAAAACAAAACAAAACAACAAAAACAAGGCCAGGCACAATGGCTCACAACTGTAATCCCAACACTTTGGGAGGCTGAGACAGGCGGATCACTTGATCAAGACCAGCCTGGGCAATGCAACAAAACCTTGCCTCTACAAAAAATACAAAAATTAGCCAGACATGGTGGCTCACACCTGTGGTGGCAGCTACTTGGGAAGCTGAGATAGAAAGACAGCTTGAGCCCAGGAGGCTAAAGTTGCAGTGAGCCAAGATTGTGCCAGTGACCTCCAGCCTGGGTGACAGGGCAAGGCCCTGTCTCAAATAATAATAATAATAATGATATCCCAATGAATTTCTAAAGCAAAATATTACTTACAATCTGTTAGCCAAAGCCAAAGTTTACCTTAAATAAGGTAAACTTTTTATAAGAAGACACCCATCATCAATTTTCTTCAAAAAAAAAAAAAAATCTGAATGTCTTCTCTAGGGATAAAAGTAATATAACCATAATGCAGGAAGTCTAATAAACAGGTGTAGAAGAAGGTCGTCTGATCCACCACCACCCACCACAGCCACTGTTACAGTTAGTGTACTATTTTCTCTTTGCATACCTGTATTTTCTTGTGATCGCAATGGACATAATAGTGCCTGACTTTTTATTCTAAATCAGGCACTTTCCTTTTGGAACTCTTTGTTTTTCTGAAATAGAGTTTCACTCTTGTCCATGCCACAGTGCAGTGGCAATCTTGGCTCACTGCAACCTCTGCCTCCCAGTTCCAAGAGATTCTCCTACCTCAGCCTCCAGAGTAGCTGGGATTACAGGCATGCATGGCCACGCCTGGCTAATTTTGTATTTTTAGTAGAGACAGGCTTTCTCCATGTTGGTCAGGCTGGTCTTGAACTCTCGACCTCAGGTGATCCACTCACCTTGGCCTCCCAAAGTGCTGGGATTCCAGGCATGAACCACTCACTCACTGCACCTGGCTCTTTTGAAACTCTTTTCTGAAAACAGGTATCGAAAAGATTTATACATTGACCAGATTTAAAATACATGTAAAGCCAGCTGGGTGTGGTGGCTCATGTCTTGTCATACCAATACTTTGGGTGGCCGAGGGGGTGAATCATTTGAAGTCAGGAGTTCGAGACCAGCCTGGCCAACATGGTAAAACCTCATCTCTACTAAAAATACAAAATTAGCTGGGTATGGTGGCACACACCTGTAATCCCAGATACTTGGGAGGCTGAGGCAGGAAAATTGCTTGAACACAGGAAGCAGAGGCTACAGTGAGCCAAGATCACACCACTGCACTCTAGCCTGGGCAAGAGGGTCAGACGCTGTCTCAAAAAAATAAAATATATGTAGAGTCTCTTTTAGCCAATTTGGTATTTCCAAATCACAAAAACATTTAAAATCTCAAAGAACTATTCCACCCTGATGCAGTTCAGCATTTAAAGTAATAATAAAAAACTAAGAGTACTTGAGCAACACTTTGTCTGTTAAGGTAAAAATATTATCTATGACTACCTCTATACCTAGATGTTAGAAGAAATGACCGAAAAAATAATTAAAGTTCTTTTAAAAATGCTGCTATTTATTTTTCTTTAAATAAAAAGGGTGAGGGGCAAAAAGTGGACCATAAGATAGGGTGAGGCTTAAGTTCCTTACCTCTCTTCTTCGCCCTCTAAGAGTTTCCTGTAAGCACTGATTTCCATGTCCAGCGCTAACTTTACATCAAGAAGCTGTTCATAGTCATTCAGCTGTTGCTGCATCTGATCTCTTATTTCTGCCATCTCTCTCTCTTTGTCTGTCAGCATGCGACGAGAGTTGTCTTTTTCTTTAGCAAGCAAGTCCTCTAATTCTTGAATCCTTTCCAAACATGCTCTAGACTTAAGATACAAGGAAACACATTTACTTTCTAGGAACATTCCAACATTAGCACCAGGCAGCTATTTTAAACCATGTCCTAGACTGGAAAACAAGTACAACCCTATGGAATCTCTAACTCACTAGAACTGAAGAGATTTTAAGAAATTAAAACCCAAAATTCCTCAAATACAAAACACAGACCTCAGGAAAGTTTTGGCTAATAAAAGAATCAAAGATATATTCCCCAAATGTAAGTTCTGTAAATATACGTATATTGTTTTCTGTACTTAGCCAAAAAAATTTTAAGCTGTGGTTTTGGTAAAAGTCAAGTCTGACTCCCTTACAAAGCCTTTACTTCCAAAAGTATAAATTAAATAAAGAACTTAAAAAGATATAAACTGACAGACAAAATAAACCTAAGAGTAGGTAAAAGTGTGTTTTAGCAGACTGCTGAGGAATATTCAGAAACCAAGGCAAAGGAACTCTGGTTACCATGTGGAAGGTACTACCTAATGTTCCTTTAGGATTGGTGGGCTATCTCCTGTTCAGTTAGCACACAAAGGCCATACAATATAGGGCTGGGTGATAAAGTTTCACAGTAAACATAAAAACTATATATTTGGCATTAAAAAATTTAAAAATCACACATCCTACACCAGAAAGTTCATCTTAGAAACCTTGTGGCTCACTGGGTAATTATTCTTCTGTGTTTCTTCATGACAGAATTCATCTCAGTAGCCTCAGAAAGTGACAATCAACTCAAAAAGACTGATGGATAGCTTAGGCCTCAGAATCATAAGTACCCGCAACAGTGCAGGAGAGGAAGGACATCTAATGTGCAAAAACTAAATTTGGAAGGCTAGAGATAAAAAGGAACTACCCGGCCGGGCGTGGTGGCTCAAGCCTGTAATCCCAGCACTTTGGGAGGCTGAGGCGGGTGGATCACGAGGTCAAGAGATCGAGACCATCCTGGTCAACATGGTGAAACCCTGTCTCTACTAAAACTACAAAAAATTAGCTGGGCATGGTGGCGCGTGCCTGTAGTCCCAGCTACTCAGGAGGCTGAGGCAGGAGAATTGCTTGAACCCAGGAGGCGGAGGTTGCGGTGAGCCGAGATCGCGCCATTGCACTCCAGCCTGGGTAACAAGAGCGAAACTCCGTCTCAAAAAAAAAAAAAAAAAAAAAAAAAAAAAAAAAAAAAAAAAAAAAAAAGGAACTACCCAATACATAAAAACTATACTTTTGCTGGTTAAATTTACTTCTCACAGTAGTATAGGTTCAAAATTTTGAAATTGCTTTAACATATACTTGGGCTGAATCGATAAGTAAATGGATGATAAATACTAGGTTTCTTACTCTCAGAGAGAAAAGTCATAGATATGTCAGAGAGGACACCAAATATGAATACTGTGGTACTAGATTCAAGTCAGAGACATCTGTATGAATTCATGTTTACCTTAATATAAACACAAATGATCAGACAGAAAAACAGTTATAAATATGTGTGTACACTTGGGTTAGCATCCATAAAATACTACCTACTTTTACTGGTGAGAGGGCTGAGAAGCAGTGACAACCCAGGACCAGTGAGCACACTCAGTGACCAGATCTTAATTTCTATATACCATTCTCCAATAACAAGAACCAGGGCTCCTTGGAGAAATGGATAATTCTAGGACTTGGGCAGGGAAAACGCAAGATGGGCCTACAGCATGTTATAGTACCAGAAAGCAACAAAGTGCTCAAAAAGCAATGGGACACAGTGCCCAACCTGACAGAACTCCCAACAGCCAAAGGTGAAACGATCCAAGCCAAAAATGTAAATACTGCAGTATTAACTTACAACCCAAAGTATAAATGCCCATAAGTCCATACTAACACAAACAAACAAATAAACAAACAAGGAATGGTCAAATCTTTACAAAAGAATACCATTTGATAAATGTAGATCTCCCCACAGAATGTGGTGCTTAAGATCCTGTCCTTCACCCTTGAGGGTGGGCTGAACTTAGTGACCTGCTTCCTATGAACAGTGTATGAAAAGGGAAAACTAGTAGTGCTGTTGACAGTGGAGAAACATGGCAAACACTATCTTAAACCAAGCACCACCAGTGACGTCATATGGATATCACCTATGTGCAATCCCAGATATGATGTGACAAAACGGGCACCTAAAACCCCAAATCCCAGTCTAATCATGTGAAAAGCACCAGAGAAATCCAAATTGGGGGACAGTCTATAGGATACCTGAGCAATCCTACGCAAGGCTCAAGCTCATAAAAAACAAGGAAAGCCCAAGAAAATGTCAGAGACCAGGGGAGGCATGTGGCACCTGGAACAGAAAGAGGATAATAGAAAAACTGGTGAAATCCAAAGTCTGGAGTCTAGTTCACAGTAATATATCAATGTCAGTTTCTTACTTTTGAAAAATACACTATGGTAACATAAGGATGCTAACAACAGGGGAAACTGGGTGAAGGAAAAACAGAACTGTCTATACTACTTTGCCAACTTTTCTGTAAATCTAAAATTATGCCAAAATAACAAGGTTATTTTAAAAATAATCAGGAGTCACTCTGAACCTATTCGGGGGTAGAGGGGGTGCCTGGTTCACATGCAAACAAAAAAAAATATTTTTAAAGAAAAAAAATGACAATCGATTAATTAAATTACAGAGTAGTATATGACTTGACATACTATTTAGACAGGCACTCCTCTTAAGACGGGTATTACGAAGGTAATCCCTGAACCTCAGAGAACTTGCATTTAACTGCATTTGCAAATATCATGCTATAAATGGAGAAATCCATTTCCCCTCTACCATGTTTTTTGTATATCAGAGGTAGCAGAACAAACGAGCAAAAAGGAGAGTTGACGAGAGATACAAACTGCCCAAGATTCACAGATAACCTAAGCCCAGATTTATAAACCCAATAATGTCTCTGACTGCCTTTGATGTTGCAGAGCTGTTTAAGGGGAAGTCAAAATCTAGGTATAGAAGTTTTAAAGTTACTCTGAATCATTCTGTATTTTAAATAGAAATATTTAAATTCTATTTTCAGTCACTGCACTTACACTTGTGTAGTGAAATATAAGGAACACAGTATGAGAAGTTAGACCTAGGTTCTCCTTTCTAATTCTGCCATTAACTACCTATGAGACTATAAGCAAGCTGTAATTAACCTCACTAAACCAGTTTCCACATAAGGAAAATGAAGAGATCTAACTAACTAGATTATCTCTCAGATATTGCCTCTAACCCTAAATTTTATGACTTCTGATGATCTTAGGTTTTTTTTATTTTTTTACAGTATGTAATGTAATTGTACTGGTTTATTAAGGTCTAGCTGCAACAAAAGTCTCCAGAATCTAGGTGTCAGAAAAACAAAAGTTCGAGGTGTTTTTAAGTACCATGCTATACTCTTCTCTAAGGCAAGCAAGCGCTAACTGGCCCCAAGTCAAAAATCTAGAAATGCTATAAACGATGTAAAATCTCTAATTCCAAAACATAACACTGCTACCATCTATATATTATTTAAATATATCTTCTAAAATCAGTATTTTAAATGCCATGTCAATTTTAAGTGAAATTTAAGAAGTACTTCACCAACCTGAGTTATTTAACCGAAAGGAAATTCTTATGGCCCAATAGGCAGCATGATGAAACTGATATGACTCAGCAACAAACACTATTAAGATACACAATAGGGAAATATTCAAAGAAATAACATTTTTCTTTTTGATGATTTTTCTAAGGCTAAAATTTATCAACTAATAAAAATATTCCTCAAAATATACTGTTTACCATAAAGTCTGTTACCAATAATGAATGGAGGAAAAGATTCACCCACAGACAGAGAAATTAAAAACTACTTTGGCTAAAGGGAAATGCTCTTCTTCTATTTACTAATGAATTAGCTTCTGGAAACCCCCAGTTCCCTTTCTAACATTACTTAAAAACCACTAAGTTAAGGTCAATAAAAAAAATTGCAGCCAGGCGCGGTGGCTCACAGCTGTAATCCCAGCACTTTGGGAGGCCAAGGAGGGAAGATCACCTGAGGTCAGGAGTTCCAGACCAGCCTGGCTAACATGGTAAAACCCTGTTTCTACTAAAAATAAGAAAAATTAGCCAGGCACGGTGGCACACACCCGTAACCCCAGCTACTCGGGAGGCTGAGGCAGGAGAATCATTTGAACCCAGGAGGCAAAGGTTGCATGCCACTGCACTCCAGCTTGGGCAACAAAAGCAAAATTCTATCTTTAAAAAAAAAAAAAAAAAAAAAAAAAAGAAAACTTGCAAAAATGGGAATGCAATTAACAGGCAAACAGGGAAAAGGCTTGGATCTGGGTCAATAAGTGTCAGAGCCCACTGCTACTGATTAATAACACTAGACTCGCCTCAGTTTCCTCATCCAAAGTACAATAAAGATCCACCCCAAGAGAAGATCTGTACTAAGTAAATCAAACGGATTAAGCAGCAGCCAAAAAAATAGTAAGAGTAGGAAAAAATAAAATTGAGAGACAGTAAGTAGTATACAATTTACTATTAGTAAATGGAAAAGAGTAGTGAATGCCAACTCAGCATAAGAACAGAGAGGCCCATTTTTAGAAAACTACCTGTTAAGACAGGGATATAATCTGAATGTTTGTGTTCCCATAAAGTTCATGTCTAAATCCTAACTCTCAAGGTGATGATATTAAGAGGTGGGGCTTTTGTGTGGTAATTAGATCATGAAGAAAGCCGTAGTGATTGCGATTCATGCCTTTATAAAATAGGGCCAAGGGAGCTCATTCACCCTTCAACCGTGTGAGGACACAGCAAGAAGGCCCAATCGATAAATCAGGGAACAGCCCTCACCAGGCAGATACCCAATCTGCCAGTGTCTTGACCTTGCATTTCCCAGCCTCCAAAACAGAAATAATTTCCAACGTTTCTCTTGTTTGTAAGCTAGCAGGTCAATAGCAGTTTGTTATAGCAGCCCAAAAGGATTAAGACAGATGGTGCAATGGAAAAAAGATTATCTATTAAATTTCTAAAAGTAAATCTTCTTTGAAGAGAATGAGGTATAAAAGAAAAAACTGAGAACAAGTAGAGAAACCCATTTATCAGTCTGCAGCCTCTGGGCAAGTCATCAAACTCACCTAGATCTATGGTTATACAGAATGAATTCAGAGGTGCTTCCAGCTCTACAGTTACATGAAAATCTTCAAAACACTATCAGCACAAAACAGGTTTAAAATAAGTTAAAAATTTGTGCTGTAAGTAACAAAGCACATGATAGGCAATGTAAGAGCTCCTATGTTAACTAAATTCTTTTTTATCACCCCATTTTATGTGACTCATTTTCTGCTTTACTTCTAAGTTCCTGCAATAAATGTCATCAGTTTTATAATTAGAAACACTTTACTAAAAATGGTAAAAAGAAAAAGGAAGAAAAGCCTCATCAAGAGTAAAGTTTATTCTTATGTGGAAAATTCAAAACAAGATTTCCTCCCTTGAGAAAAACAGAAGCTGAAGTTATTTCCAAAATAATTAAGGTGACATGTAAATTGCTGAATCACTCTGAATGCATATATGAAGTATACGTACTTTGTGTCCACACTGACACCACCCTAGGCTGAAAATGATCTGACGTAGGGCAGCACCTGAAGCACATCATCACGCCCTGGTAGATAGACTGTGTCCACACTGACACCACCCTAGGCTGAAAATGATCTGAAGTAGTGCAGCACCTGAAGCACACCATCACGCCCTGGTAGATAGCCAGTCAACACAGCCAGCAATAATGCCATTTGTCACTTAAGTGTACCAACAAATTAATGAGTCACTAAATTCTTATTGGAATATGCAAATTAAAGCTACTTCCCTGGATCCTAATTATTATATACTTTAAGCACTAAAGAACTTGTCTAGAAACACAAAGCATTCACCACCCAAAAAGAATTTTTGCATGTTTTTCTTCATTTTGGTTTTCAAATGATATAAAAAAGGAATGTGTTGAGAATAACTCTGTAGAGATGAAGCTGTTAGAGAAGGCAAAAGATGTCGGTCCTAGGGTAAGTCTAGTGAATAAACTAGCAGGCTGCTTCCTTGAGGGCAAGTCCCTTAGCTCTGTGTAATCTACTAATTAGGAATAATAGTATCTGCTCAAATAACGTTTATGCAATGCAAAATGAACTAATCTACAAAAGTACTGTGCAGACCAAAGCACAGGATAACATCATCCTCTGTGACAAACAGAGGGAGGAGGGACATCAGGCAGAACAAAGCAGGTAGGTGCCCATGGTGAACGTGGCCTTCAATTCTAACTTCTTACAGAAACATGCTTACTTACCTCTTTCTGTAGATTAGAAAGCTGAGATGAAAGGCTCTCAATTCTCATGCGGCTTTCCATCAGTTCTTCCCTGGCACTGTTAACAGTAGAAGTATTCATCTCTGATGACAGCCTGGCATTCTCAAGCTAAAAGGAGAAGCAAACCATAGTCAGTCTTATCTAGAGCACTGAAACAAACAAGGAAGCATGATTCACCTCAAGGTATTTCAAACCTAAGTCCTGCTGGTAACTGGTTGATGAAACACAGGAAAAGCATCATGAAGTTTGCTGACATGGCATGAATGAAATATTGAAGTAATAAACTTTGGGTAAAAGTCTAGGTATATTACGATTCTTAAAACTCATTATTTAGGAAATGACTCTAAAATAGTCACACAGAATTATGGTCATTCATGTTTGTAAGAAAGCAAACATCATATATCCCTAACGCACCGAATCCAACACAGAATATAAAGCAACGAGCAGAAAATACTAGTTTATAGATTAGTTCAAACCAGATAGAAATACTTCCTTTCAGAAGAGAAAAAAAAAAAAAAAGCTCCTCGAGTAAAATACAAATCCCACGACACTGCTGTGTATGTGTGTCTCAGGCACACGGTCCTGTGACTTCTCCCTGGCTCCCTGTAAGGCCACAAAGTAACTCATCCTTACTTTAGTTCATTCGCTGTCTAGCTCAATGGGTAATCTTGGATAAATGTTATACAACTGAAGTTACTGTTTATAATAAGAGATCTTTCATTAATTACCACTTCATAGACTAGATAAGAAGCAACATGAACAGTTTAAGGCCATGCAATGAAAATTTTTAATAACTCTGACTCTAAGTCGGCCTCAAAAAAATCTTTTTAATCAAATCATATAACATTTAAAACAAGGTAAAATCATTTACCAGGAAAGCCTATATTAGTTGGTGATTTTTATGAATTCTTGCATGGTCTGCTAATGTAAACGGGAAGTTTCTGCAATTTTTATTAAGTGAATAATAGTGACAGAAGAAGAAACACCAGAGACTTTTCATTTGGCCCTTGTGCAAAAAACCCCAACATGTAGTAGTTGCAATCTGTGCACAGTGACGACGTGAAAGTGAGAGCTAATGCAACTGGACATTCATTTACTACTAAATGGATGTAGATGTCGGCAGCGTGATCAGTACTTGTTATTGGAAGAAAGGTATTTCACATGGCTTGGGTTCAGCTCTGGTGTAATATGAATGATCAATAGGACAAAAAGACAAATCCTTACCTCTAATAAAATTGGAACAACCCTACATTTTTTCCAGTAACTTTTAGTAACATTTAGTTTATAGAAAACTGCACTTTAAAAAAAAAAAAAACAACAGTTTTTCTATATATTTCATGGAGGCTAGTGGAATCATTTTTAAAAAGAACCAGATAAACATCAAGCCATGTTCTTCATGGGATCTGTGAAGTAATGATTTTAAGAGTTCAAAAGACTCTTCTGAAGACAGAGCTCACTTTGGCATGGTAAGTCTGCTCCAGCTCTTCCTTATACAGCCTCACTTGGGCATCATGTTGCTCTCTCATCTCATGAAGGGCTTGAGCCAGCTTGTACTCGTACTCAATCTGACGCCCAGAATCCACCTCTACCAAGCGCGTTTCATGTTTCCTTCTGGTCTCATTAATCTCCTGGGGAAAAAAGAAATAAAAAACATAAAGCCAAGTTACTTACTGTGGCTGCACTGGTACAGATCTGAGTGACATCACAGCCAACTGAAGTTTCACATACAAACCTCCTGTTTGTCCTAAAGCATTCATGTGAATAAACACTTTTTTGCCTCTTAGTTTTCAGTTGAGAAGATATTTGAAATGAAACTAATGACAGAAGTCATAGCATCTCAAGCCCTAGGAATTTCCTATTCCTTTTCAGGAGCATAGCTATTTATTTTTCTGAAGCCAAGGAAAGGCCTGGATGACCTACTAAATTACCATGCAATCAGGGATTTATAGACAGTAAACTATACTAAACACTAAGCAAAAATTATTTTTCTAAATTGTTTCATTGATAATCCCTCTTTAAAAAAAACAAAGCACATGGAAAGGTAAACTTACCAGTCATGATAAATTTAAGTAAAAATTTATGTGTAATGAAACTACTTCCTTTTTCTTTCTTGGAGATGGAGTCTCACTGTCACTCGCCCAGGCTGGAGTGCAGTGGCATGATCTCAGCTCACTGCAACCTCTACCTCCCGGGTTCAGGCAATTCTCCTGTCTCAGCCTCTCTAGTAGCTGGGATCATAAGCGCACACCACCATGCCTGGCCAATTTTTGTATTTTTAGTAGAGACGGGATTTCCCCGTGTTGGCCAGACTGGTCTCAAACTCCTGACTGCAGGTGATCAACCTGCCTCAGCCTCCCAAAGTGCTGGGATTACAAGAGTGAGCCACCACACCCTGCCATAAAACTATTTTCTTAGACATAATAACAGGCAGAACAAGCTAATTTATATGATTTCGTTTAAATGCTGGTATTAAACTATCAAGTATATGGTATCAAGTGATACAGGATCTTATTAACAATGTAAGTTGACTAACTCAAATAAATATATGAAAATTTTTCTACTAAAGAATAGAAGTATCCCACAGTTTTGGGGTTTCATTTTCTTTTTAAACCAGTTTTTAGCTGGTGTTCATGAAGAACAGTGAGTACCTAGAACTGTACCACTAATTAAAGGAAATCCTAATAAGGTGCATTTTTTTACATAGCTGCGTCATGCCATCCTTTGGGCCCTCTGCTAGAAAAGTAGAATCAAGACTCCCTTCCTCTCCGCAGGTCCCGCCTAGGCGGCTGCCCGTGACCTGCCTGGGCGCAGGGAACGGAAAGCCAGAAGGAGCAAGACGAGTTCAGTTCGCCATGGGGCTGTTTGGAAAAACCCAGGAGAAGCCACCCAAAGAACTGGTCAATGAATGGTCATTGAAGATAAGAAAGGAAATGAGAGTTGTTGACAGGCAAATAAGGGATATCCAAAGAAAAGAAGAAAAAGTGAAACGATCTGTGAAAGATGCAGCCAAGAAGGGCCAGAAGGATGTTTGTGTAGTTCTGACCAAGGAGATGATCAGGTCAAGGAAGGCCATGAGCAAGCTGTAGGCATCCAAAGCGCACATGAACTCGGTGCTTATGGGGATAAAGAACCAGCTCGCGGTCTTGTGAGTGGCTGGTTCCCTGCAGAAGAGCACAGAAGTGATGAAGGCCATGCAAAGTCTGGTGAAGATTCCAGAAATTCAGGCCACCATGAGGGAGCTGTCCAAAGAAATGATGAAGGCTGGGATCATAGAGGAGATGTTAGAGGACACTTTTGAAAGCATGGACGATCAGGAAGAAATGGAGAAAGAGGCAGAAATGGAAATTGACAAAATTCTATTTGAAATTACAGCAGGGGCCTTGGGCAGAGCACCCAGTAAAGTGACTGATGCCCTTCCAGAGCCAGAACCTTCAGGAGCTGCCTCAGAGGATGAGGGAGAGGAAGAAGCTCTGGAGGCCATGCAGTCACGGCTGGCCACACTCCGCAGCTAGGGGCTGCCTACACACTCCTCTGAAGAGCTGCCATTTTATGTGTCTCTTGTACTACACCTCTGTTGTGAGGACTACCATTTTGGAGAAGGTTCTGTTTGTCTCTTTTCACTCTCTGCCTAGGTTTTGGGATCGCAAAGGGATTGTTCTTATAAAGGTTGCGTAAATAAATGCATCATTTTTCGGAGTATTAAAAAAAAGAAAAGTAGAATCAAGTCTCAAATAGTGCCTTTTTAATTGTATCTTCTAGTATTATAGATACAAGACAGTATTGTATCATACCTACGTGAAGGTAAAATATCTTGTACCTGCTTTATGATACGTAGTAGTGACTGTGCTTTATCAGAGCTGTTTTCAATGATGTTATTCTAGAATGTTTTCTTTCTAGATGATTCAGAAGCTAATATAAAAAAATGGTGCCAGGTACCACAACAGTAACAGAACTTTGCAATTTTCTGGGGTTTTGTTTTGTACCTTTTTATTCCCCTTTTTTTAAATGGAGTGTGCTGGATGTCTCTATAATTTTGTTCAGATGATTGCAGAACCTGGAAAAGCTGTTGTTGCTATTGATACATAACATACTGCTCTTAGTTTTTTAAATAAATAAATATATATATGCATATATATTTAATTTGAATTTTTGGAAACCTTAGGTGTGCTATCAACTTTGGAAAAAGTATCCCAGTTTACTGTGTTGAGTTGGCATTGTACAGAAATTAACAGCCAGCCATATTGGTCTAGAAACGTTACTTAATTTTTTTTCCATTTGTACAGGGGTAACACACTGTATTAAATATGTAAGGTCTTATCTACATGGGTTTGATTACAGAAACTAATAAAGTATTCTCTAAATTTAAAAAAAAAAAAAAAAAAAAAAAAAAAAAAAAATAAAAAAAAAAAAAAAAAAAAAAAAAAAAACAGAAGTAGTTGTCATGATCCTTTACTCTGTTTTAAGGAACTGTGTAAATACAATTAGAATGGAAGGCCAAGCACAGTGGCTCACACCTATAATCCTAGCACTTTGGGAAGCTGAAACGGGTAGATCACCTGAAGTCAGGAGTTCAAGACCAGCCTGGCCAACATGGTGAAACCCCGTCTCCACTAAAATACAAAAATTAGCTGGGCATGATGGCAGGTGTCTGCAATCCCAGCTACTGGGAAGGCTGAGACAGAAGAATTGCTTGAACCTGGGATGCAGTAAGCCAAGATCATGCCACTGCACTCCAGCCTGGACAGCTGAGTGACACTCAATCACAAAAAAAAAAAGAAAAGAAAAAAAAATTAGAATGGTAATATCTAAAGAAGCCACAAGAGGGAAGTATAACCCACCAAAGTTGCTGTTTGTGTACGTTAGTTCATGTATTTTCCTGTGCATTTCTTTATCTTTCTCTTAGCCACTGCACAGGAGCACGCACTTGACAAAAATCAGAAAACCAAGTTCAAATTACAGTTCTGCTGTCATCCTCCCAGAAATCATATCTATTTCATGAAGCAAATAATACCTAAATCATAAAAACATTGAAAAGAACTACTAATGGTTTGCCCTTCCTTTATCTATCTCCTCCTTCCTCTTTTTTCTCCTTCCTTTTTCCCCACAACTGTTCATAATAAGTTAGTTAGATATTATTACTGAACACATACCATCAATGTAAAAAAAAGTTAGGCCAGAGTAGTGGTTCACACCTGTAATCCCAGCACTTTGGGAGGCTGAGGCCGGTGGATCACTTGAGGCCAGGAGTTTGAGACCAGCCTGGCCAATACGGTGAGACTTACAAAAAAACAATACTAAAAAAAAAAGAAAAAAATTAGCCAGTTGTGAGGGTGTGAACCTGTAATCCTAGCTACTCAAGAGGCTGAGGCACAAGAATCACTTGAACCCAGGAGGCACAGGTTGCAGTGAGCCAAGATCATAGCACTGTACTCCAGCCTGGGCAACAGAGTGAGACTCTGTCTCTTTAAAAAAAAAAAAAAAATTTAATTTTTTTTATTTAAAGTAAAAAAGGCCGGGCATGGTGGCTCACGCCTAAATCCCAGCACTCCAGGAGGCCGAGGCGAAAGGATTACTTGAGTTCAGAAATTTGAGACCAGACTGGCCAAAATGGTGAAACCCTGTCTCTACCAAAAATACAAAACTTAGCCGGGTGTGGTGGTGCATGCCTATAGTTCCAGCTACCCCGGAGGCCGAGGCAGGAGAATCAATTGAACCCAGGAAGTGAAGGTTGCAGTGAGCCAAGATCACACCACTACACTCCAGTCTGGGCAACAGAGTAGGACTCTGTCTCCAAAAACAATTAAAAAAAAAAAATTGAGAGGAATAACTTAAAATCCATTCTAAAAAAGGCAAAAGCCAAAAATTCAAAGATGTGACATAAACACTCTAAAATAAATACACACACACACACACACACACACACACACACACACACACACACACGTACGCATATATACATCGTTTTTTTGAAGACGGAGTCTCACTCTGTCACCAGGCTGGAGTGTGGTGGTGAGATCTCAGCTCATTGCAGCCTCCGCCTCCCAGGTTCAAGCGATTCTCCTGCCTCAGCCTCCCGAGTAGCTGGGACTACAGGCTGTGCACCACCATGCCCAGCTAATTTTTATACTTTTAGTAGAGACAGGGTTTCACCATGTTGGCCAGGATGGTCTCCATCTCTTGACCTCGTGATCCACCCGCCTCAGCCTCTCAAAGTGCTAGGATTACAGGAGTGAGCCACCACGCCCAGCCTCTAAAAATATTAAATGACTTTTTACTGATGTCATTTTTTTATGTAGAATCAGTGACCTGGCTGGGCGCGGTGGCTCACACTTGTAATCCCAGCACTTTGGGAGGCCGAGGCGGGTGGATCACGAGGACAGGAGTTCGAGACCAGCCTGACCAACATGGTAAAACCTTATCTCTACTAAAAATATAAAAATTAGCTGGGCGTGGTGGCACATGCCTGTAATCCCAGCTACTCAGGAGGCTGAGGCAGGAGAATTGCCTGAACCTGGGAGGTGGAGGTTGCAGTGAGCCAAGATCGTGCCACTGCACTCCAGCCTGGGCCAC